GCCTGTCAATGCACGTCTTAGCGCTGAAAATGTCGCGAAGCTGTCTCTCGGTCAAAGTGACATTCGGAAACGCGTTGGTCCCGTCGCGGATCGGAGCGCACGAGGCGGACAGGTGTAACGCGCAGCGGCAGTAGACACCAACTGATCTCACATAACAACGGCCGATAAAATTGTTGCGTTTCCACCAAAAATTATCCTCTTTTTTTTCCCTCGCGGTATAAAAAGTACAAAATTGTGGTAATTTAGCCCCCACCAGAGCGACGATGGCGACGGTGGCGGCGGCAGCGCTGCTCCGCTTGCTGCCCACGAGGAGAGAGGAGAGAGAGAACGAGAGGAGGAATTCTAGAAGGTAGAAGAAAGAGAATGATAGTGCGAGACAAGGAAAGAAATGCAAAGGGTGGAAGTTAGGAGGGGCGGTGGGGCAGAGGGGCGGAGGCGAAACGGGGGCCTTTGGCCCATGAATACGCCGCACTAACAACGCGGGACAATTATGGTTCAATATAGCCGACGTTAATAGCAATAGCTGAGGCGGCTGCTTCGCACGCTCGGCGCTCTTCGTGTTCCGACTTCTATTTCGCCCGTAAGAGAGAAAAGGACGCGTGTCGCACGAAATCTGCGTTTTATGCATACACGTCGACCCACACACGTGACGATCGGTCAATTTGATTGTCAAGCGTTACGTGACAACATAGAAGGATAAAACGATCGCGCCTGCGAGAAATTACTTTCGTACATTTCGAATAAATGTCTGCGCTTAATTCTTGTTCTCCAATCTCAAAGAAGCTATCAATTCACAAACGATCTGAGCCAGTTACATCGTTCTGTATTTCGAAAGAGAAACGTACCTCAATTTCGTCGCGATCCGTCGGTTTCGGTGTTCGGAAAATCGGATGCGATCGGCGCGGAGAAGAAACTTTTCGAACCGCTCTGTATTTCGCGGACACTGTTACTCCTGGCTCGGGTTGCTGCTCGTGTGAACCCGGCCGATGCTTAAGCCACTGAGAAGGGGCATACTATGAAATTAGTATAATCACGATCAAAATTACTCGCGTCGGGCAACGCTGAACCACCAACCGCCGCTCAAATAATCCGCTCCGTCGTCGCCAATCCGGACTTGCGAACTCTCGGCCATTTTGCGCGATGCTGCATGCGCGTCGGCAGCTACAAATTACCGCAAAAGTGGATAATTTTCGCGGAGTGCGCGCCAACCCGTTCACCATGTGTACCGCTCTACCATGCTCGATCCAGTTCCGAAACCTGCATGCGAAAGAACTCCGATGGAGTTTAGCGGACAAGAGGAATCGATCCCTATGAATAGCCCGGATAAATTAACAACTGCACGCGAAATAGCTATGCTCTATGTTATTTTCTTAGGGAGTGATTACGATAAAGGAAAAGAAGGAGCAGCTACTTGAATGTCCGATAAGGAAATGGTTCGCAGGGAAAAAGAGAGTGAACAAACATAGGGATTTGTTGGAAGAAGTAATAGGTGGGGGAGATAAACATGTTAGGCTCATTGCAGAATTACATGCAAAAAAACAAGCGCTGCAGAACGTAGAATAAGAAATCAGGACAATAACATCTGAGAGAAGGTGGAAAAAATAGATAGAACTTGCATTATTGAGACTTAAAATAAATTAACATCAACAATAGAATATGTTAAGAATAATGTCAAGTTTGAAATTCGCGTAAACGAACTTGCTACTTTTACATAAACTATCTCTCGTCTTTCTTCGCATTGTAAAAATCGTATCTCGTGAGATTTCACAGTTGCATCCAGCAAAAAAGTTTGATTTCACGTAATGGGAAGAAATTGCACTTTTTAGAACTACATGCGGTAGCGAAAAAGTGCGTTTACTCTATTTACGGACACATAATGCAGCCAAATGATATACCGATCACTGTTAAGTGGCGGCGATTCTCCGCAACCGCCGGCAATACTTTCTGTGACGGCTGCACAGAATTCCACCGGCGATGAATTCCCTCGCTTTTCTCGCGCATGTCAATCATCGTAGCGAATGCATCCTTGTGTACACGCGTGCGGTATACATACACATACATATATGCACGTGTTTTATTTTCCTCTTTTTGATAACCGCGAAGAAACGTCTCACGCGACCCGAATCCGCAGATCGTACCCGCGATGTCGTTCATCCGGCTCTGCCGCCGCAAGGCCGTCAGCTCCCGTTCGCAGCAATGCCGCAGCACCGTGTAATTATAAAAGCGAAATGTTTAGGCTGCTCTCATCCGTTGCTGAAGGAACGCCTCTTTATGTGCAGGCCGCGTAGTATTAATTCAAGTAATACTAAGAAAGAGGAAATGAGGTTATTTAGAGCTCCGAAAGATAGAGTAATGGTATTTTTGATTTCTGCATAATTTTTTAAAATATGGAAATCAGTAGGTGTTGTCAAATATCGTTTTATGAATACATCAAATTGCGAAAGTATAAGGTTTCTTTAGTGGATTTCAATGTTTCTTGGCAATTTACGAAGTTAAAAGTATATCTTAATGCGTATAAAATTTTTCTTCTCTAAAATCAACCGGATTTTAATGGCTTAGGCAATTTGTCGCGTGCTGTTAACTGTGCGCACAGATGACTGTCTCACGGGCGTAAAACTCAAAGTTTTATTCAGCATCGGTGATTCGACAGCAAGCTCGCCTCATCATAATCTAATTAGTGACATCTGATAAATTGTGTTTACATACTGCACACATATACTGTATATGTGCGATTACGCTAGTGTGCAGAGCAGTGGGCCCGACAAAGGGACGCCACGTTACGTTTCGTTACGTTGCGTTATGTGGAGTGGCCCACTGATTATAGTTCGTTAATTATCGGTGGCCGCGGCCTACCAAAATTAGAGGAGCCGAGGTCGTTCGCGCGTATTAAGCCAATGTGAGAATAAAAGCACGAAGGCCTCTCTTCTTCGTTGCATCGTGCACGAAAAGAAAAATATCAATTGACTCCGACGTGGTTTGTTCGTACGCGAGTAAAGAGGAGTAGTTAATACAGATTTACGCTTCGCGATCGCTTATACGTATGATTAAACATCGCAACGCTTACATCGATGGAACAGTGAAATAATTATATACGCGCGAATGGCCGCTTACATATATCGCAACACTGAAATATGAAATACGAAAAGAAAATACGAAAATATAAAGGCGATCAAGTGACGCTTGATAATTCAGGATGTATATACATATATCTGCCGCATTATTATTTCCTCTCCTTGAGCCACCTATACCTTTCACTTACAAAGACGTTACTTTAACCTACAAAAGACTTTTGCGCACCCCGTCGAGATCTGCATTGCAAAGGAGACGCGAGAAAGAAAGAACGCGACGGTCAGAAAGAAGGGCGTAGTGCGGGAGATTCTCTGCCAGTTCTTCCGCCGTTTTTCGAGGCCGTATCCTATCTGCTACACCCGGGGCACGAATACGAATTAGGACCGAGTCGCAGCGGGATCGGGACCCGGCCGATTTCGAGTATGCTGGCGCCTTGGGCAACGGTAAGTTGCTGCAGTGGGTCTAGCCACTGCTCTGCCCTCTGTAATTATACCGTGTACAACCCACCGCCGCTTTACTCTTTCTCCGAGAGCGTTACTCCTCTCCCTTCGCGTCCCGTATGTTCTGTTCCTCGGCGATGCCTCTTGTTGTTGAACGCGCGTCTCGCCGGCCGTGGTCCCGCCGGGGGCGAAGGTTGCACTCGAACAGCCGTCTTCGGTTGCCTCCTTCGCCATTTTCTTCGAATTCTTGTCCGATTTCTTCGACACGCTGATCTTTTCGTTCGATTTTCAACCGATTGCGCCCGAGAATGTGTGATAAAATAAATTATTTGGAAATATACGCTGAAATCGAAAGAGCGAGTCATACCGCTATAAATTATCTCTATAAGAATTTTAACGAAGTAAGAACGACCCCATTGATTGCAACAGATAATAATTCTGTTGCGCGTCCGACCTTTTACTATTACACTTCCGAAGCGTGACTATCAGGTTATCATTATTACTCTCTTATCGTCGAATCGAGATTAACTTTACGCGGTGTAATTAGTACCGAGAAATTATTAGCGCCCTTGATTTACGGGTACCTTCAGCTACGCACTGCCACGTTTCGCGGAGCGCTTTTCTGATCTCGAGATTTCGCAATCTTGTATCTACCGCATTACGCAAAATCGTGCGAGCAATTATCTCACGCACACGCGCGGCGATGCGATGCCCTCCGTCCATTGCGTCGGGCGCATCGTCGCGACTGATCTTCAACGAGCACCGACACATCATCTGCATCTCGTTCGCCCGGAGCGCTCGGTGCCGTGTTGTGGATATTCGAGAGAGGATAATTGGTTCAGGAGCGCCATTTCGTTCGCACGATCACCCTGATATATATCTCGATACGCATCTATCGGCGTCGTTCGGCAGCGGCGCGATAGCGATTCGACGAGCTGATTTAATATTCGTGAAAAAAGCGCTGGTCGCCTGCGGACGGACGGCGGGTGCGCAGCCGCCTCTAATTTCGTTTTTCCATCAGTTTATTTATTCTGCAAATTATCGGGTTAACCATCTGCGCGTGTCATGCCACCGCGTATGATCGCGAGAATGAAAAGAAACAGGATGACTAGGTCAAGTTAGGTGCAACGCGACAGCATGGCTTTGCATCGAATTAATCGTTTCAGTTTCTCTTTGTTATTATTTACTGTAAATTATTGCTCGTTGTTATTTTCGTAATTAATATATGGATAGAAACTACTTCAATATTTTACATTTTAATATTGCAATATACGTTAAGAATATACTTTAGATAATTTCATTCTATAAATCTAGGATATCTAGTCCATACATAAAGCTAGATTATGTGTGAGAATACAGTTAAAGAAGTAAAAGTATATAGACTGTAATAATTCAACCTCCGCAATTGACATGTATACTTTACACTATAACTTATAAACTATAGTATTGTTTCGGATATCATTGTAATATAAATGTATTTATATTTTACAGGTAAAAACTCTGCGTGTTTAAGTGATGCTACGAAATATAACAAAATGCGTGCCGGGAGTGCCGTTAATGCCGGGAGTGCCGTGATAATTTCGCGCAAGTTCGAAACGTCGAAAGCGAATCTATAGATGAACGCATTTCCGCTGCATGCAACTACAAATACTAGGACACGATTTTTTCTCGACTTTGAGCTCGGCTCGGGGAAGGGAAAGATCGATTTTTATGGGATTCCGATAAGAGGCAGATTCCGAAGTGCTGCTGAGGTGCCTGGTTTTCTAGTCGGTTGATCCCACGACTAATTGCACCTTACATTCTTCGAGCTTATCTTTTGCTTTCTGTTTTGAGAGAATAGTGCCTCACTTGACAAATGCGGTCGTCTGAACACGGACGGAATTTACGCGTAACGTCGCATCTTGAACAATTCGGTTCGATTCGCTTGCGACGTCGGGAGTGTCGTTTAAAGTGAGTCGCACGATTTTCGTATTCGAGTATGTGCGCGAGCAATGCATACGTCGCGAACGCGTGTGAGTGTCTCGAAAAATCGCTCGCGTGCGAGGGTCTCGAAAGGAGAAGGACGCCTCGGGAAGCATCGGGTGACAGCAGAGCAACGAAACAGTGAGTAATTTATTATAAAAAATACTTTTTGATAGTGAAGAGGCTATATGTAGATTTTATATCCCTTCTACCAGGGATATACCTCTTCTCTAATACTTACAGCAGTGTGTGTCGAGCTGCGATAGTACAAACAGCCCAAACGGCAATTTTGGCAAATAGGGCTACCCGATATTTATCTTGCAAACAGTCAAGTCTCTCGTCTTCCTACAAACAGAATCGCGAAAACGTTGACGTAAAAATCAATGACGCCAATCCGACGCGACGTACCGAGCCGAGCGATTTATAACGAGAGTCTACGGCAGTTTTGATAAATTGCAGCAATCTCAGTTAAACACTCTGACTCATATCACGAATATCATCAACCTATGTAACGCCGGTGCGAGTCTGCATACGACTCGCGTACGATATTTATGCGCCTACGTGATGTGTATGTAGATATACGCGTACAATATCAGCCATTAATATTTTTATCATAATATCACAGTGCGCAGTGCATTATTCCGGAAGTATATTGTAATTAATCCCCGCGTTGCATTAATTTCTTTACTACAAAAATTCTACTTTTCTCTAAAAGCATGTTTTTTAACGTAGATAGATCAGTGCTTTTTAAAATTCAGCTACTTAAAAGTTTATTTTTCGAACTTAATTATTGAAGTAAGTTTTAATTTTGCAAAATTTTCTATAAAGCCGCATGCTGATTTTAATTTTGACACTAAAATTTTAAAATTTTTACATGTGCTGGCAAATAATATATAAATTAGCCGCGAGAAAGATTCGAGACAGGAATAATAAATGATACAGCACGTTACACGACATACATATGCATGTATACGTAGTAACACGCGGGTTACCATAGCGTCTTGGTTCTTCATTTAGCGTACGTTTACTGGTACAAAGATTTATGTTATATTGCACAACGATGCCGCGTATAAATGCCGCTCCATAACGTATATATAATCGCTTCACTAATGAACTAACGTTATCTGAGACACCTGATAGAAGATAACGCGCCACGTCTAGCGCTGCCATGAAATATTGCTTGTTAACACGAATCTAACGACGGATTAAAGAATTAATGAGGATTTCTCGCCTGCTGGAGAATAAATCCGCTATCGGTTTATTCTTCTCAGTATATACATCTTCTTTTATTTCATCATTAATTTGCTCACATCAAAGTCCGTGCGCGAGGCCCTGGAATAGCGTTCCCTTCAACTTTCTTAATTAGTTGTAATTTAGCGGAAACCGTTTCCTCGGCTCATAGATTTTAATTTTGTTGCACGTGTAAGGAAAAATGATAGCGATTCTCCCCGCCGCGTTATTATTTATGTATACATCTGAGATAGTTATAAATACATCGTCCCTTTAGGCGGCAAGTAATTAATTAATTAATTACTGTTTACTAATTATGCGGCTTCTTATGTTGTATCACGCGAATACAATGTCTTAAACTTTACGATAAAACGTCAACTCAATTTGCCATCATTATTATAATTACACGCTACTTTTAATTAATTAATTAATTATTCTACAATATCTACATGCGTTTTTTCTCACCAGGAAATGCCGCTAATTTAATTTTAAATAAATTATGCATTATTACTAGCAAGCAAAACATATTAAACAACTAACAATTTTTATATTGTTTTACAAATGCGTGGAGACTTTTACTATTGAAAGTCAGTTGTTTTCTAAAAATTCGAGAGTATAGAAACGTTTATGTTCCATATTTTTAAGCTGTGTTCTGCCTTTTCACACAGCTGACTTTCGTTCTTTACGAAGAAAAATAGATTGCCGTGAGTACCGGACTCGAGATCGTAAAAGCACACACCCATAGTGAGAGTCACTCGCGTATGGAAAGACAGCTCGTGATCATCGGTTCGATATAATATGCAAACACGACGTCGAGAGACCCGTTTTCGACCGAAGGGAGGTTGCGTGCGCGCAAACCGACCGATCGGAGTGTTAAAACCGAGCGTGATGCCACTCTCTTTGCGGCTTAACCGACGATGTTACTACCGCACCATGCGATGCACTAGGTCGCACGTCCATATTTGCGTGTTGTTATTCAGTGAGGATAATTGTTTCGATCAGTTTTCATTGGCGAGGCGAGACAATTTGTCGGATATAGTTACACCATTAATTACTTGAATTGTGCGGAACTATAAGAATGATGAAATAATTCTTAAACAATGAACAACAACGCATACTTTGTTCGCGTTGAAATAACACTTCAATATTATTCAAAGCAATTTTAAACAATTCATCCAGATGCTCCACGTGGAGTACATCTATTTACACTCATCTCAATTACGCTGTCCATTGACAATGTATTTCGACGTGTAATATCGTCCTTAGAACTAAAACACATGACAGTACACGACATTAGCCATATGTCGAAACACCCTCTTTTCCGCAAACGTCCCAAGCCACTGACATCAATATCTGTCTATGTTGCAACTATCGGTAATTTATTAGTATCTTTCGATTCGCTGGAAGGAGACTTTCTTGATTGCGGGGTGGCGTCGAGTCGGGAAGGGTACGAGGGGTAATCCACTTTATCCGTCACACCTCGCGATCTAAGCCAGGCATTGATTTCGCATTAGCACGACTGACACATCGCACCTATTCCGTCCTCTTCCTCCCGATTCCCTTTCTCTTCTTATCCTCGTCGCTGTCGATGTACACAGCGCGCGCGTGTACGTGCTAACGTGCCCTCGCCGCGACTCCATTCGTTCGAAGGGAGCGAAGCTTGACGCGGCCGGGCTGCAGCACGCAACGTCGAGGGCGGCGGCGACCGCAATATTAGATTAATGGCGGATGTACTTCACTTTTCGGAGGGCGTCCATCTCTACGCCCGTCATGGAATCTCCGCGGAAATTAAGCTCCTCGAGTGGCGTTGACTGGTAAACTTCGTAGACCGCCCGCCAATCACGAATTAGATATCTTACTTCGGCGTAACGACTAGAGTACTCGAGAAATCTTCCCACGTTATTGCTGAACAGCGTGATACAATGAATCGATAGCTTGTGAGCCCTTGCTAGCATAAATTATAATTGCGATGTTAGAAAAATATGTATCGCAGAAAGATCAGCAGCTATTTTAAGACTGTTTGTTTCTCTTTACAAGATATATTTAAAAAAGTTAATAAGATAGTTATCAAGTTTGTGAACGTGATAAAAAATTAGAGACATTCACTATCTGTTACACCGCATATCCGAAAATGGAAGGGACGGTATAATCTCTTATCTTATAAAACATAAATCAACGGTGAACGGAGTACCAGGTAGTCGAATCCATAAACATTAACCGACTTATTGCCCCCGTTGAATACGATTAACCATTCGAAAAATCTCGAAACTCGTAAATCAAGCTTGCGCTTCTACCCACGCGAGTCGCATCCCTCGTATGTAAATCCGCGACGGGCACCCGAACCAGTTTCAATCTTTCGATCGATACGGGATCGCAATTGCGTACCGGGCGAAGATCGGCGGGTCAGATCGCGATGTGACGATGACGATGACGACCAAGTCGCGGCAGCGTAAACCAACGTGGAAAAAACGACGCGAAGAATTATAGCCGGCGATGTAACGGGAGGAAAGAGTCCGGCGTCTCTCTGCTTGAACAAGCGGCAGCGACAGCGATGGCCTCGAGGGCCCGAATGTGGCGGAGAAGCGGAATGGGAGATCCCCGACTGCGATCGCGATAAGATGCAGCGGCGTTGTCGGTTGACAAAGGGTCGTAGGAACGCCTACTCAGATCGGACGCACAACCGCTTGCGGGGGCGTCCATATTAAAATCGGCCACCCGTCCCTTCCTCCCTGTTGCCCTCCCATCGTGCCCCACCATCGACCGATCCCGCGATCTTGTTTATTACCCGCGCGTACACGGCGGTTGCCAGAAAACGCGGCAACCGCTTTCCAGCGTATGTTACGAGTGTTGCAGCTGGTTCGCAAAGTATATCTGTTTTTCGACGACTATTAATTCCATAATTCTTTGCATTTATCGCGATATTAATCCTCTTAATCACTTTTAATATTTCTAATTTTTTTTTTAAATTGCTAAAGAGAATTATGATTATTTGCTGTTACTATGCAGTTGATATCTAATTCTTTCTTTATGCGCACTCTTCTTCTTCAACAAAGAAAAGTATAAAAATATTTCAAATACATGCCTTCTAATCTTTAACAGCTGTAAGTTTAAAATATTCTTGATTAATTATAAATGATAATAATTTTCTAATGATTATTCTGATAAATACACATAAATACACATCTAAAATAGAAGTTTCAGAAAAACATAATAAAGAACATATTTCTCATTGAAATCTGATCATAATTTTAATGTAATTTATGCAGGTTTAATTATAAAAATTTAGATACAAATATCATACACATGCAATACTTTCTCCGCAAGGATTTAATGACGCAGGATAAAGACAAGTAGGTTCTGATCCTATCGGTTGAAGGTTGCTCAGAAATGGAGTTTGTGCTGCTCTCTAACAAGTATCTTTTCAACCTTCTTTCTTCAGCATATAACATATGTTGAGCAAATGATAAATTTAAACATGAACTTGATCATATTATTTTTGTTTTATGCAATATTGTAGTTAGATATTGCATTTTAATAAATTACATGTGTATGCATTTGTAAAATATACACAAAAATATTTGTTACCATATTGATCGTGATTCTGCTGTTAATCTAATAGCAGTGATGCAAGAATTGAGACGCGGGTTATGCGTAACCGTAGTGGAAGAGATCTTGCAGGAATCCCTTTTACTATGATTGTGTGTGACTCGCGTCTCAACTCTGGCATCATTAATTTCTGATTGCGAGTAGCGCAGAGTAGCGGCGCCACTTCCTTCAGTTTATTATTCTGCGTCGAACTGTCAGTTTGCGATATATAAACTTCAAGAATTAATTGATTTGGTCTGGTTTTTTAATTACTTGCGGTATCAAAATGTTTCCGCAAAGCTCACAAAAGAAATATTGGATATTTAGCGATGAAAATGATTTAACTATTTTGAGAGAGAAAACCAATGTTGAGTTTATTGCAAAACATGGAGTTAATATGACTGTGAGTTTATTTTTGCAATATTCAATTGTTTGTTATTCATTTTTGTTTCAAATCACGTATCTATTTATTCACTTTTACTTATAATATCATGTGAATCAAATATCAATATCGATGCTTGAAACTTAGGTTATGTCACATGTTATACACGTTCATGATTATTACAATTATAATACAAATTTGTTATTTCAATAGCCGGAACAAAGAGAGGAACATTTTCTTTCACACATAGAGGAGCGTACATTACTTCGTTTCTATGAATTGCAATTGAGGGACTTTTGTCGTCGATTCAATCCACCAATGCCACGTGCTACTGTAGCCACTGCTTTACATTATTTTAAAAGATTTTATCTTAGGAATAGTGTGATGGATTATCATCCTAAGGAAATCTTGGTTACTTGTGTTTATCTAGCATGCAAAGTAATTATCTTTCCTTGGAAAAAAGTCTTTATAGTATTCGTAATCTCAATTGGTTCATACAACAATTGTGTTTTAGGTCGAAGAATTCAATGTCTCTATATCTCAATTTGTAGCAAATATCAAGGGTGATAGGGAAAAAGCATCCGATATCATTCTTAACAATGAATTGCTTCTCATGCAGCAGTTAAATTATAACCTCACTGTTCATAATCCATTTAGGCCTGTAGAAGGTCTGATGATTGATATAAAGGTAGATCTGATGTTTTTCTATTATGTGCCTGTGCAAATAAAACAGTATGTATATAATGCTTGCTTTTATAGACAAGGTACGCGTCTTTGGAAAATCCTGAAAAATTAAGGCAGCACATAGATGAATTTTTAGAAAGGGTTTTTCTAACAGACAGTGTTCTTCTTTATGCTCCAAGCCAAGTTGCATTAGCTGCAACTTTGCATGCAGCATCCAGGGCTTCTGCAAATTTAGATAATTATGTTACTGATATACTGTTCTCAAGAGAGCAATTGGGAGGGATTATAGAGGCTGTGCGAAGTAATTGCATTTTATATATTTGCATGAATTTGCATACACACTTTTACAACGTAGGTTATCAATATTTACAAATTAACTCTTGTAGAAATACGTTCAATGGCTAAATGTGTAGAATCACCTTCGCGAGAAATTGTAAAGGCTTTGGAGAAGAAACTGGATAAATGTAGAAATCAAGAGAATAATCCTGATAGCGAAATGTAAGTACATTTGTGTGTAGGTTCAACGTTATCATATTTTTATAGAGGATTATTTGTGTAAGACTAAAAAATTTTAGATACAAGCAACGAATGCAGGAAATGTTGGATGAAGAGGATTTACAGGATAATGAGAAATATGCAAAAATTATTCAGGATCAGGCGGCCCACGATGACAAAGTTTTGGGAGTTAGTAAAATCTTGTCTCCTTCTGCTTTGTGATAATAACTATAAATTTTATATGATAATTAGTAAATATTGCATAATCCAAAATCCTATGTATATTTCTCAAATAATTTACGACTTTATTTCTTTATAACTCAATATACATGGGATTTACATAGGATTTTACAGCAATGTTGTATATTTGTATTCATCACAATCTAAAAATATAAATACTATCATTTTGTTCGTTTTCTTTGGATAAAAATTGCACCATGAATATTATTTGTTCTATAATAGTATTAAGACATAATTTATTTTGTACGTATACGATGTATTATTATAAATGCATACGTAAAAAAATAATGCGCATAAATTTATTGATGACCTTTACTTTATGATGATTTTTACTTTACCGTATTTTTCAATAATATTTATATTCAATATTATATAATATAATATTCAATAAATTTATTGAATCGCAAAACCTCCGTGAAATTTTATAACATTTCAGAATACATCTATTCTAACAAAAGATGTTTTATTTACACGAACATATATATAGCATTTTAAATTATTCATGCAAATTAAATTATAAATTTAAGCCAAATTTATAATTTATAGCCTTTGTTTCAATTCAAGGCTTTGCTTGTATTAATTTCAATTAACGAAATATTGATAAATTAATTAATTGATTAATATTTATCAATATTTATTAATTTATATATATTTATTGATTAAATTATCAATATTTTATATATTGTTCGATTTAATTTTATTCATCTGAAACTAAGAATCGTGATGCCTGAAATCCAATCTCTGAGTCAACTGATGCGCGAGATGATTAGTCGGTACATTCTGAAAAATGGACGTTTGCTGTCTCATAGACAGATTACTGGGTAATGGTTGAACGATAGGTAATGGGGATGGTAATGGTAACGGTGTTAAATGTTGTGGGAGCAATGGTACTCCTGGTTGCGATTGTCCCGGATAATTAAAGAACCTGCGAAGAGACACATTAACGTATTACTTGTGCGAAAGTACAAAATAACATTTAATATTTAATTACTTAATTGATGCCAATCAAAATCTTAACGTTAAGTATAATCTTATCTTGCAAATTTTTTAATTTTGCGAGAAAGACACTATAGTAATCCTTTTTACGTGAAAAAGATTTTCTTAGAAATTACTTATTATGTTTTGTATTGAATTTATACCATAAACGATCACCGACAAAAATGGGTCGTGGTGCTGGAATTCCTAGACTCGAGTAGTACTGTTGCGCCAATAATTCGACATCATTAGTATACTTTCTTTTCCACTTAGTCCGTCTATTTTGAAACCATATCTTTATCTGCAAAAATAGTTGATAAAAGATAAAATCGAAGTTTACGCAATCAATACGCAATCTTATGCACAGTTGATATTTCTCCACAATTTTTGTAAAATAATTAAAATGTTTAAAGCTAATTGAGATTGATCAATTGCAGACTCACGATAGATTCACATTTGCGTTGGCTGGGGTGCAAAATATTTGCCCCGGGTGAGGATCGAACTCACGACCTTAAGATTATGAGACTTACGCGCTGCCTACTGCGCTACCGAGGCCCTAAGAAAGGTACTCGGAAGTGCTTTTGATCGCGAAAGCTCTGATCTTGTAATATATATGTGGGTCGCAAATGTTAAATATGAATAAAAAAATAAATAACAAATTATATACAATGAATAGTAACACTTCAATTCGTACCCATCGAGCAAACATCTAATTTTTCGTTCTGTATAATATCTATACAATATTAAAAAAGAATTATTGAATAAAACATAATCCTGAGCAGATTTCCTTAAAAGGTATATTTTTATCTATGAATATTTATATTGTTTGAAAAACGCAGTAAACTATTTTTTATTACTACGTACAAAAATGTCGCTAACACGCATCGTCTTTATTCCGATTAAATTTTAATCCGCGTAAAAAATAATAGTGTATTATAATACACTAGAAAATAGCGTTGTTTTCTACGCGGATTGAAATTTCTCAAAGGAAACTTAGTCCATAGTAGCCGGCTCGCGAACATGCGGCCGGCTATGTATTCTAATTAAAAAATCGACGCCTCTCCGGTTCGTCGCCTCGACGGAGCGCAGCAGCCGTCGCTCGGTACATTTCGTTCCGCGGCGGATGCAAGCCTCGCGACGACGGAACGTGTAAGATGGCCTGCGTGAAGGGGAGAAAAGGGGCCCTTCCGAGCTGGCTCGTTAACTCTGAGAAATATTGTGACAGTTATGTCTGCAGCACGACGCGTCTCCTTCTTGCCTCTGATCCGTCGTCCGATCGTTCTCCCTTTCGAGCGCGATTGCGAGAGATAATTATCCGGCTCGTTCGCGATATTTCGACCGGCGCTGGCAATTATTGTCGGCAAACAACTGGTCGGCGATGACGGCATGGCGCAATCTCCGCGATGGCGAATATTTTGGGTGCGCATCGTAAATTAATTAGTTTACAGCGTGGGCGGGTATCAAGCACATGCTACAAAATGTGCGGCCGAAACTTATGCAACCGTCATAGTCCACGCGTTTTACGGAGGAATCGTCATGTTGAGGAAATTATAGTGCTCTCGCGGGACCGGTTAATATTAGAAGATAATATCTGCGGAAAATCCGCGACAAAATTATGATCAATGCAGGAAGAGATTTTAGTAGTAACATATGCGAGGGAAAAATTGTTTCGAGTATGTTTCTTGAAATATATTACGACTTGAATATAATTTCCAAGACTGAAACACATTTGCGTTAAATTACAGAAAGCTCAAGGATTATTCAACTTCGCACCTTGTGTTTTGTCTCGTGCCGGAGCTGTTTGTAGAAATAATTTGATACACTTGTGTGACTATTAAATTTTAACTATTGAACTCACATTTTTAAATAATATTGATGGTTATCGATATTATTTATAAATGTGAGTTCAATAGTTAAAATTTAATAGTCACACAAGTGTATCAAATTATTTCTACCAACAGCTCCGGCATATTGATAGTTATTGATATTGATAGTTCACGCCTAAGGCAGCAATTCCTAATATAAAGCTTCAAATTTTACGAAAAATATTTTCGAAACATCTTATTTTAGACGATATAGCTGAATTCTTTATATATACAATGAAAAACGATTTCTGGAAGGGTTAAATACTTGGCAAAAAATTTTTTTCCATAACAGTTCACGAGAAAGAAGGGTGGACAAGTGCTAATTGGTCTTAAAGGACGATCCTCCCCCATGGCGCCACGTTCTGGCGCCTGCACATATGGTGCTCCGTGAACCCATAATTTAGAGCGAGTTGATTTTAAGGAACTCGGGGTACAAGAGACTTAAACTGCTTCAGGTGTTGAAGAAAATCTACGGAAGCCGAAAGACATTACCGCGATTTATTAAGTGTCCTATATCCTGTTGTGATCTCGCTTCGGTCTTCCGTGTTTTTTGTTCTAATTAGATTTATTTATAGCATGAAACTTAACATTGGAATACGCTAGGATTACGAAGGGCATTAGTGTAGCAGACAGCTGTTATTTATTATTGAATTAAAATAAAAGCGCGCCTCTCTGAAAAAGAACTTACTAGGTGCGCAATTAAGTTTCCGGGTTTTTTTTATCAATGCAAAATGGAAAATTTCAAGAGAAATACAAAAAACGGTTTATTCAAAGTATCGTCCCTCGCTAGCTACACATTTTTGCCATCTCTCTGGCAATACATGAATACCGCGACGATAAAACGACGCGTCTTTGCATCGAAACCATTTATCCAATCAGTTTTGCACTTCTTCGAAATTGGCCAAGTGTAGCCCAGCTAAGCCATGTGCCATCGACCGGAACAAGTGATAATTGGAAGGGGCCAGGTCTGGTGAATACAGCGGGTGCGGTAGCAGATCCCATTTCAGCGTTTTCATGGTGTCCTGGACGATGGAAGTGCGATGGCACGGAACGTTGTCGTGCTGCAATATCACTCGTTCGTGTCTCGTGTCCCATTCTGGCCGTTTTCGAGCAATGCATGGTTCAAATTTATCAATTGTTGTTGTCTTGTGTTTGCGTATCA